ACCCGTCTTGAAAAACAAAAACAGAACAAAAAAGAAAGAGAAAAGAAAAGAAAGGAAGAAAAAAGAAAGAGGAGAAATAGCCCAAGTCAAAAGAGACAGAGATCGGGGTTATATGGCCATAAACCAAGGAACATGAGGTGCTGCTGGCAACTACCCAAAGCAAAAGGAGAGAATCCAGGGGCACGACTTTCAGACAGCTTGATATCAGATATTTGGCCTCTAGAACTGTAAGAAAATTAATTTGTCTCGTTTTAAGCTACCGGTTTGTGGTAATCTCTTACGGAAGCTCTAGGAATTAATTAAATGTGAATTTATTATGAAATACTTCCCAGAAGAAGTTCTTTTCTTTGGGATATATAAGACTGAGTTTTTAGATGATTGAGTCATGATAAAGTGAAAAACAAAACAAAAACAAATAAAAAAAATAAGACTGAGTTTTACTGCAAGGGTATCTTGGGTTGTACCCAAAAAAGTTAATATGTTTCCCTTTTTTTATGCCATCCTGGCTGGCCTGAACTCAGAGAGTTGCCTGTTTCTGCCTCCCAAGTGCTGGGATTACAGGTATGTGTCATCTGTGCCCAGTGAGTTTGTTTTTGACCCAGCTTTCTTACCTTGAGGACCAACAATTCAGGCTTCCCATAGCCTGTTCTTTCTGCTCTGCACGCCACAGTACCCTCCAGAATCCCACCTTAAATGTTCACATCTTCTACACAATCTGCTTTAGATTGACCCCTCTACTCTACTGGCTTCATTGCTTGCCTTCTTATACCTTTTCCCCTAAAAATGAAAAATCAATAGGTTATCTAGGGGCTGGGAGATGGCTCGGTCAGGAAGGTGTTTGCTGCCCAAGCGTGAGGACCTGAGTTCAGATTCTCAGCACCCACATAAAAAGCTGAGCATAGTGGTATGTGCCTGCAATTCCAACGGCGACAGGAGGATTCCTGGGACTTACTGGCCAGCCAGTCTAGCCAAACTGGTGAGCCTTGGGTTCAATGAGAGACTGTCTCAAAAACCAAATTGAAGACACTTGATGTCAACCTCTGACCTCTGCAGACATTCTTGTGCACTGTACACACGAGTATGTACATGCACCCCCCCCCCCCCCACGCACATCCAAACTCTAACAGAATTGGAGACAATGAAATGAGCACTCATGACATCATCTCCGAGCATGTTTCATCCTGGTGCCTGTCTCTGGTGGGGCTATGCCCTCCCGTCTACATTTGTTTTTCTTTTCTTTTTTTTTTTTTTTTAAAGAAGGTGAGAACGGTACAGAGAGATCCAACCTAATAATATACTTCCCCCTAGGGAAACACACACACGCTGTGAAAATTAGGTACCTGTCCTTGGTATTTCAGAAGGATAGGAAGGAATCACTACTCTCCAAGTAGCCTGGATGTTCCTAGAACCCAATTCTTTTTTAAAAATTCTTTTCATTATTTATTTATTTTTATGGGTATTGGTGTTTTGCCTGACTGTGTATGTCTGTTGGATCCCCTGGAACTGGAGTTACAGACAGTTGTGAGCTGCTGTGTGGGTGCTGGAAATTGAACCAGGGCCCTCTGGAAGAGCAGCCAGTGCTCCTAACCGCTGAGCCATCTCTCCAGTCCCTAGAACCTAATTGTTATGTTTCTAACATACTTTTCCTAACTCAACCTATTTTGGCATTTTTGCCTTTAAAACTAAGATTTCTTTTTTTTTGGGGGGGGGAACCATAGAGATGAGTACCCAGACCACGTACTTGCTATGAATCCAGGCTGACCTCAAACTGGTGACAATTCTTTGGTTTCAGACTTCCAAGCACTGGGATTATAGGCATATGCCATCACTGGCGATTTAAAACTAAGATTTCTGAGAGCCTGCCATGGTGCTCATATTTCTAATGCCAGTGCTCAGGGGGCAGAGGTAGGAGGATGGTGGAGGGTCATCCTGGGCTAGGTAAGGAGAATCTGCTTCAGAAATAAGCAAACAGAAATAAGATTTTTTAGCTGAGGGTTTAGGCTGGTGGTAGAGTGCTTTCCTAGAAAACACGAACCCACTGGGTTTGTTCTCCAGCACCCACGCAAGCAAGCAAGCAAGCAGGCAAACAAAACCCCTCTAGGATTCCTTTGTTTGCAGTAGTCTGACATGAAACATGAAGTATGTTAGAGGTGGGTTTCTGCAGCGTCCTTTCAGCCCGGGCTATGAACATACACGTTAAGTGACATACATATTCTTTTCTCTTGAACTTCCTTTCAGAACAGAGTGAGTTTCTTCTCCTCTGGTCCCATGGAAGAGAGGTTCAAGCTCTGTACCTGGGAATGAGTACAAATAGCTCTTCCAACTCCCCGTGTGCCTTCTTTTATTTCCTCATTACCCTGGCAGTGCTTCCTGTTCAAAGGCTTTATGCTGTTGCTGTCTCAGAAGCACTTATCAACTCCTGGTTATAGACTTCCATTTCCTATTTTCCCTTGAATTCAATGCCTGTGATTAGAATTTCGAATTACAGGATATCTTTCAGGAACTGTTTTTAGTATAATTCAGAGTTCAGAAGATCACTACAGTAGAACCACAAATAAAAGAAGCGTGTGTTAGTGTGTGTGTGTGAGGAGGGGGGTGGCTAATGCCCTTGTTTTCTTTCGGTAGGACCAGTGGAAAGGCAATGAATGGACACGGCGCTGTGCCTTTTCTCGCTTCTCCTCATTTGTTTTGGACCACAGGCTCCATTCTGATTTAGGAGTCTCTGCTGCTCAGCATTTCAGTGATAATTCTCCCCATGATCTACAGGATCCCTGTTCTCCTTGTTTCCATAGCAACAGCCCTGTGTTGCTTGGCTAGAAGCAATTTTCTGCTGCTGTGGTGAAGCCCTATTTTTTTTTTTCATTCCTTTCTCTCCAGTTGCCTTGGTAACCAGCCTCTTCCTCTTCTGGTCTCTTGGTGGTAAATTCCACCCTCCTGTTTATCTCTTTCTCTAGTAACAGTCACCTGGTCGTGACTTGGACAGCGCGAGCCCGTCTGTGAGTGAGCGTAGCCTGTCGTCGTCTGGCTGTCATCGTGAAACCAGCCTCCCCTTTCTCTTTATGTGCATCATCCCTCTGCCCTGCCATCTTTCTGGTGGTTGTCATGGTAACCATACCCTCTGAAAGTCTCCAGGCAAAGGCTCTACAGTTAACAACCGTCATGTGAGAGTGTCTGCCAATATGTGGCCACACATCTCCATTTTAAACTCAGCCCCAGGTGGGTACCACAAATTAGAGAGAACAAGGCTTTTCATCAAAATAGCCTGGATTGAGTAAAGGAGGTACTAGGGACCCAGAGCTAGTAATAGGAGTTCTCTAAAACAATATATGTCGCTACACGGTTTAGCTTAGGTTTGTAAGAGTGGTCATTTTGCCTGAAGAAATTCAAGTGACTGGAAAATATAATGGCAGTCACTCTAGACAGGCCAGTCACATGCTGTGGATTGGGGGGGGGGGCAGGAACACTATTTTGACCCAATGAATTCTGGCTTTACCTGGGAGCTAGACAGAGGCAGCCTCAGAGAAAAAGCGTTTATGTCTCCCTTCCCATCCCAAGTGCTGACTGAACCCAGAGCCTCATGCTTACTAGGCAGATGCTCTACCATTAACCTGCATCCTCAGACCCCCTAAACTGCCTGACTAGATAGAGGTTGGCAGAAGGGGTCCTTAAGGGTCTTCACACATTTCTGGAACATTCTCTGCCCTCAGGCTTTTGCTCTTACTTATGTAGGGAGGCAGATGGGGTTGTACAATGATATATAATACGAACTGTTCAACAAATGGTGGCCGTGCTGTGCGGGGCATTTGCAGCAGGCACTTTCCAGACATTATCTCACTTTTCCCTTATGGCAATCCTCAGAGGAACTGAAAGAGAAATCTTTGAGGTTAGGAGGTGAAGTAAGGGACTGGGGGTACACGCCGTGCTAGAGTGCATGGTGAGCATCCAGGGGGCCTGGGTTCAAGTTCCAGATCAAGAGGGAAAAGAGTGATGTTAGCGGAAGGTCGCACAGCGGATGAGTTTGAGAGCTGAGATTTGCATCCAGGTTCATCTGGTTACACAGGCGTTCTTTGTTCATTTTAAACTTCATTTTGTGTGTGTGTGTGTGTGTGTCTGTCTGTCTGTCTGTCTGTGTATGTACACAGAGGTCAGCATCAGTTCTCTCCTTCCACCATGTGGATCCTGGGAATCGAACTCAGGTCATCAGAGTTAGCAGCCGGCACCTTTACCTGCTGTGCCATTCCTCTGGACTCCCCTGAGGCTGTTTCTTAAAGGGGTGTGTGAAATCTTTTGAATTTTGTTCATTTTTGGCTGTAATTTTTCTTTCCCTCACTTAAATCTGCTTTATCCTGCCCCCTCCCCCCACCCGACTTCTTCTATTTTGTGGGTTGTTCGCTTGCTTGTTCTTTTGTTCTCAGCCTCTCTCTTGCCAGCGCTGGCTATGCCGAGGGAAAGTTGTGTCCTGCTTTCTGATTGTGTCTCAATGACTGTGGAATGACAATATTAGAGCCAAGCCCTTGCCTGACAATTGGACAGATCCGACTTTGAAGAATGCCAGTCTCTGAGCTTAATAGCTCCAACAGAAGTAGGCAAGCTGTTTTTCTCTGTCCATTTAGTCGTTATTGGTGTCTGTGCTAGGCTCGAAAGATATGGCAATGACCTAGTCAGAATTTGCCCCTTGTTTTTGTGAAACTAACAGCCTACAGTAGAACTCAGACAATAAACCCGAGGCCAGTTCTGCAGTTTTATACTGGAATTAATGCTATTAAGAAAGTGAATTGGGTGTCCGGACGCAGTGTAGACAGAAATTTTAGCTGGGTTACCATCTCTTTTTTGAGAAAGCAAGTCTTTGGGCTGATCCCAGCTAGTCGAAGGCAGTTACGTCATAAGCCTTCCAAGCTTGGAACCTTTGTCCGGCAGTTTCCTCCTCCTTTGCACCCTCCCTTCAGAGCCGGAGATCCGCGCCGGCGCACTGACTGTTGCCATGGGGACAGCTGCTTCGGCGCACGCGCAGTTCTCTTCAAGATGGCGGCGGCTGCGGCTGCACGAGCAGTTCCTGTGAGCTCAGGATTCCGGGGCCTGCAGCGAACGTTGCCACTTGTAGTGATTCTCGGGGCCACTGGCACTGGCAAGTCCACCCTGGCTGTGCAGCTAGGCCAGAGGCTCGGCGGCGAGATCGTCAGCGCAGACTCCATGCAGGTATGGCAGCGTGCTTGGCCCAGGGCCTGGGAACCCTGGAGGTCGCGTGCGGGCCTCTGGACTCATCGACACCCTGTCGCGTGGCTGCAGTGGGTGAACCCCGGGGCTTGTGGGGATGCGGATGAAAAGAACCCACACCTGCTAGAAACCCATCCAATGGCAGACAGTGCCGACTGTATCTTGTGATCACTTCTCAGGCCATTACTGTTTCATAGATATTACCAATAGTTTTGTTTATGGATAAAAATGTTGGGGCTTGGGAAAGTGAAGTGGCTTTGTGCGTAGCACATTGCAAATAAGCGGAGGAGAGGTATTTGCACGTGTAAGGTTGACATGTACCCGACGAATTTCAAGAAATGAAAATTATTCCGGAACTTTTGCCATAATCTTAATTCTAGCCCGGTGAGACCAAGATAAATCAGATGCCACCTGTGAGTGGGCAGCAGTCTAGGCAGGCGACCCGGATCGCAGTCAGAAGCAGCCATTGGGGCCGCGCCACTTCAGATTAGCAGTGCCCTTTATTTGAACATTACTTTCTTGGTAAAGTGGAGGAAATGTCATTTCCCCCAGTCACAAGGCTGCAGTGATTGAGACGTTTGAGTGTGACACCGGCGAGCCAGGGTGGCCAGCTCTGAAAAAGGTCAACAATTGTGGTAAATGTCGCCTGGAGCTGAGGATTTTTTTCTTGACCCTTTTGTCCTCTTTGAGATAGGACGTGCAGAAGGGATGTCGTACTCATCTCCCGTGGAAGCGTTCGTGCTGGAGAGTAGATGACATCTTGGGGGAAGGAAGGATTACAAAAGCCGTTAGATGTGTTTAAAGGTTCAGCAACTTACACAGTCAGTCACCGAACCTAAACCGGTGGGCACTAATCAAAAAGGGTGGTTCTTTACCCCAGTCCACCTCCTAAGGCTCCTGGTGTGGCTTCTGCCCTCATTGTTTCGCTTGTCGATGCTAAGACCAGCATATGCTAAAGTGGTCGGTAACGCAGCAACTCCTGTCGTTTGCAGCCCGTTTTGTGCCGACTTTGGGGGGGGACAGAATTTAGCTTGAATCTCAGCCTGAGTTTCCCCAACTTTGGGCTGACTTGAATAAAGATGCATTTTCTTCTTCTGTAAAATAGGAAGAATAGCAATAACAGCATTGGGATGAATATGAAGTAGAATATATGAAGCATTTGATACAACTTAGTGTTAAAAAAATATGGTAATAGTGAAAAAATATGGCCGCCATTATTTTTTGTGTGTGCAGATAAGGCCATACTCCTTATATTGGAGAATGATAGTCTGGGTAGACATGACCTAAGGCAGAGCTAATAAGTGGACAGGGCAATTTCCAGAGCGTTTGTAAGTGGGCGGGTTCAGGAGAATAGACTACAAATGCTGGATTTCATGGTAAACTATTGCATGTTATAGAATTCTTGGAAAATCACTGAAGGTCAGGGAGAGTCTCTAAAGAAGGGCCGAGGCTGGGGAGGCGGCTCAGTCAGCGAAGTGTCTGCTACTCACGGACCTGAGTTCAGATCCCCAGGACTCCTGTGAAGACGCCAACCCTAGCATGGGGGGCTGTAAGACTGGAGGATTCCCAGAGCTCACTGGCAAGCTAGTTCAGTCAACTGGTGAGTGCTGGATTTAGTGAGAAACCCGTCTCAAAACATAAGGTGGAGAGCAGTTGAGGAGGACGCCTGACGTTGACCCCTCTGGCCTCTACATGCATTTCTGTACTTACACATACACACATGCACACACAAATTCAAAAAATAAAAATGCGTAAGAAGATATGAATTTTAAAGAAGAGCCTGAAGTTGGGCAAGGTGGCATACATTGTAATCTTTGATCTTGGCAAATCGAGGCATGAGAAATCGAGGCCTGAGAACTGCCGTAAGTTGGAGGTCAACCTGATATACGTAGGAAGTTCCAGGCCAGCCAGGGCTTCATAGTGAGACCTTGTCGGTCTATAAGAGCTAGTTCCAGGACAGGCTCCAAAGCTACAGAGAAACCCTGTCTCGAAAAAAAAAATTAAAAAGAAGATTAAGGTTTGAAAAATAGGAAAATGTTACAGAGAAACCTTCTTTCAAAAAAAAGAAGAAAAGAAAAATGGAAAGGTATATAACAGGAAGTAACCCAAAAGAAGGCTAAAACTGGTGGAAGAGTGTCAGTGGGGTAGTGAAGAGACTTCAGTAGGGCTGGATCATAGTCTTCTGCCCTGGGAGATGAGGACAGGGTCAGAGCAGTCTGTTAGGAACACTGATCTGTGAGCAGTGTGCATAGTGATTGGGAAGAGCCTCTGAAGGAATTCAAGTGGTCTGAATTCTAGTCCTGAGCCCTGCACCTCGGAGACTTGATTGCCTAGGGCTTCAGTGAGATGGAGCCGCACTATGCTAAGAACCATTCCAGGCCTTGTGTTCTGCAGTTCTGGGTTGGTGAAGCCTGAGTGGAGATGGTCCAGTTGAGGCAGAAAGAATGAGCCTCGTGTGGTGCAGGATTCAGGAGTTGGGGGCCTGGGAGCGTGATCAAGCCCCAAGTCAGGAAGAGTTTGCAGGATATCCAAGGTCAAGTCTGTTCGTGGCTATTTGGGGAGCGTTGTAGACAGGAGTGTATTCCAGAACTCTTGGGTTTGAGCCTCCCATGATTTTGTATGCATCCAGCGTGTTGCGTTTCTTTGTTCAGACCTTTCTCAGAATCATCCCTCATCTATCAGACCTAGTCCCTGTCAAACACCCTTTACGTAATTTTTCTTGTTTGTTTGTTTGTTTGTTTTCTTGAGATGGGAGCTTCCTCTGTAGCCCAGTCAGGCTTCACACTGGTAGCAGTCAGCCCCAGCCTCTGGAGCACTGGCGTTAGAGGCACGAGCTTCCACACCTGGCTAATCATTTTAACTTCTGTTAAGTTTTGAGTAATTGAGGGGTTGTGGGGTTGGAGATGCTCTCTGTAGTGGCTGTACCTCAGCAATGGTTATTTATGCGTAGCTGTGTTATCCAAGGGCCGCTCAGAGTTCTTTGTTTTTCACTGCCCTGTAAATCGCTCACAATGTGGTAGACCTTTTGTTTATTACAAAATAGTTCATTAAAATCGTACTTTTTTTTCTTGTGGTGTTAAGAATTAAACCTAGGGCATGCTAGGACAGTTTTTAACCATTTAGCTACACTCCTAGCTCCAAATAGCACATCTTTTGTGTGTGTGCTTGTGTATGTGTGGGTGCCCGTGCACATGTGCACATGCATGTGGCGACAGAGGGCAACCTTTGTGTCGTCGCTAGGTGCTCTTCACCGTTTTGTTTGTTTCTGAGCTAGTCTGTCTCAGAACTCTACCACATTCTCATCTCCCGCTCCCCTGGGTCCTTCCAGCGCTGACCTTCCACATTCACGCGCTCCCCCCCCCCCTTTTAAATAGCTCGCTGTGTTCATTTAGTGCTGCCCGCAAGGGCATCCTACCAGTGGCCACAACCTCAAATTACTTCCCTCCCTCAGCCGCCATCACTTGCAAATATCACCTCAGCTAGGGTCGGAACTTCATGAGTTTCTCCTCCATCCACACTGGAATTTTGACTGCATGTGTAGGTGACCACAGGTTCTGTGAGGCCGTGAGCGCAGCAGCCATGTCGTCATGCTCAGAAGACAGCATTGTAGCCTTCTGCGCCATCCGGTTCTTCCTTCTCTCTCTGTTTCTCGTTTTCCTTTTATGTGAGTGAGTGTTTTGCTTCCATGTATGTCTGCACACCACATGCATGCAGTGTCTGTGGAGGCCAGAAGGAATTAGAGCTCTTGGAACTGGAGTTACAGATGGTTGTGAGCCACCCACCACATGGGTGCTGGAAATCGAACCTGGGTCCTCTGAAAGAACAGCAGTGTTCTTAACCTGAACCACGCCTATCAGCCCTGTTCTTCAGCCCTGCTCCGTCAGTGTCCCCTGAGCTTTGTGGGGTTTGATACAGATGGCTTGTTTAGAGCTGAATAGTTGACAGTTATTTTGAACCCATCGACCAGTTAGTTACTCATGAGTCCGTGCCCTGACTCCTGCCCGCTGCGAAGAGGGACCCTGACCAAGCTCGAGAAAGCACTAGCTGTGGAGTGACTTGGCTGGCGCACAGTGCTGGGCTCAAAGGTGAATTTCTTAGACCCTCTGATTCTAGCAGGCTCCATTCGGTGCTGTGTAGGAGGCACAAGTGGGTTCTGTGTATAGGGAAGGGGAGGCTGTAGGTCCTTTGCTGGTGGTTCTCTCAGACCCGTGTATTCCTCCCACTGTGGCCTCTTCTGGTTCTTGGGTGCATACAGGCACATTCAGAATTGTATGTTTGTGATTAGAACATGAGGATTAAATTTCCTTTATCCTTGAGGATTATTAATATATGAAAAACATAGAATATTCTTGATCTTTTTGAGCTGTGTTTAATTTTAGACTGTTTAATTTTGGATGTTCATAACATTTCCTCTTGGTCCCAATTGAAGAAGACTGATCTTTGATTTTTTTACTTTTAAGTGCAAATATGCGATAAAATATTCATGTTCTGTTGACTGTGCAGAGTTACACCCAGTTCTGCTTTCTGCCTTTGCTCGCTGTTGTGCTCTGCTACAATTAGAGCTCATTTTCCAGCCAGCGAAAGGAGGGGATGCTTTTTGTTGCTGTTGTTTTGTTTTTTTGAAATAGGGTTTCCTCCCAGTGTAGCCCAGGTTGGCCCTGAACTCACAGTCCTTTTGTACAGCTTCTCAAATAGAAATACTATTTTAAAAAAGATTTATTTTATGTATGTAATTTTTCTTTTATGTAATGCATAAATGTGTGTTTATTTTATGTATGTTTGTTTACATATATGTATTGTAGAGGCCAGGGGAGGGCATAGGATCCCCTGGAACTGGAATAGTAGATGACTGTGAGCCACCATTTGGGTGCTGGGCACTGAACTTGGGTCCTCTGCTAGAGCAAGAGCGCTTAACCTTTCAGCCAGCTCTCCAACCCCTAGAGATACTTTTCAGTGCTTTCACAGAATATAATTTATAAATA